AGGAGACAATTTACCCAGCAGCATGTCTTTGGAGTGTGGGAGGAAACTGGAGTACCCAGAGGAAACCCACATAGTCACAGGAAGAACATGCAAACTCCAGGCAGATAGTGCCTTGGCTGAGATTCGAACTGACAACTATTGTGCTGCTAGGCTGAAGAGCTAAGCACTTAGCGCCTAAGTGCTTAGCACTCTTGGCGCTTAAGCCCTTTTTTGGGCTGACAATACACAGCAATTTTGTGAATTGAGTGTTTCTGCTCCACCAAGTGTCTTTTTTGCTAAATTGCTCAACCACGTCCACTCTCAGATCTCTACAACACAAGAGAGTTAATCAAGTATAATCTTTATTCTAGATTTTGTCCTGTTTTTAAATGACATTCAAATTATGATTTTGGCACAAAGTATTTTTACAATTAAAGATTTTTGTGGGGTTTTTTTTGTGTTTTTTTTTTTTTTTTTAAGGCCTGGTACTATAAAAATAAATGAACTTAAAAATAGGAATAAAATACAAAATCACAAAATGTTTAAAATGATTATTAACCACTTGCCTACCAGGCGCTGTCACCCCCTTCCTGCCCAGGCCAATTTTCAGCTTTCTTTTTGGGAGAAAAAACATTTGTTTTCTTTGTTTCTGTTATAAAATTTTTTAAATAGGTAATTTTTCTCCTTCACTGATGTGCGCTAATGAGGCGGCACTGATAGGTGGGATTGATGGGCACTGATAGGCGGCACTGAGGGGCACTGATAGGTGACACTGACTGGCATTGATAGGCAGAAATGAAAGGCAGCTGTGATGGGCACTGATATGTGGCATTCATGTGCACTGGTAGGCACTGATGGGCACTGACAAGTGGCACTGATGAGGCTACACTGATCATCAGTGCCATCTGAGGAATGATGATTACTGGCTCTCCCTCTCCTCACGAGCTGTCAGCATGAGGAGAGGACTGCCGATAACCGGCATTTCCTGTTTACGTGTGATAAACTGTGATTGGACACAGCTGATCACACAACAGAGCCGCCGTCATCGGCTCTTTACAGTGATCGGTGATTCTCTGTGTCCCAGGGACACAGCGCACCACTGATCGCCACCCACCGCCAAGGGCGCGCATGCACAGTTACAGTGGGAGGATGTCATATGACGTCCTCCCAGAACGAGCGAACCACCTCCTGCTCGTCATTTCCTTATATGGCAGGCGGGAGGCGGTTAAAAAACAAAAAAAAAACCCCAGAGCTTTTACAAACATGTTATACTGACCTGCTCTATGTAATGGTTTTGCACAGAGCAGCTCCGATCTTCCTGTTCTCGGGTCCTGTCTGCGCTCCTGACCCCTTCCACTTGCCAAGTGCCCCCACAGCAAGCAGCTTGCTATGGGGGCATCTGAGCAGGCTCACTTTTATGCTTCTTCTCTACGTCCATTGAAACACACACGGCTCGGCCCCACCCCTGCTATCTCCTCATTGGTTCGCTGGCAGTGATTGACAGTAGCAATAGCCAGTGGTCCCGCTACTGTCTTAGCCAGTGAGGAGAGAGAGACCCGGGACAGCCGAGGCTCTTGTGCTTATCAATGGATTGAGATGGGGCTCAGTTAAGTATTGGGTGGGGGGGATGCTGCACATATAAGGTTTTTTTTACCTTCATGTATAGCACAGGCGGCCCTCCAGCTGTTGGCAAACTTCAAGTCCCATGAGACATTGCAAGATTGACAGTTACAAGCACGACTCCCAAAGGCAGAGGCATGATGGGACTTGTAGTTTCGCAACAGCTGAAGGTCCGCCAGTTTGACACCCCTGATGTATAGAATGGATGAAGGTTAAAAACCTTGAGCCTTTATAACCACTTTAAATTATGATTCTGGCACAAAGCATTGGCTCGTTATTTACAAATTAAAGCTTATTTACCGTAATTAATTTGTACTTCTTGTTATTTTGGGGGGTTTTTTTTCTTGTTTTTTTTTTTCCGACACCATAAAAATGTAAACAAATTGCTGGTGAGAAAAATTGAAAAGAAAAATGCAAATACCAAAAACAACATCAATGGAATTATAGTTAAGGGGAGAAGGGGAAGGAGGAGTTCATTAGAGCCATGTAGGGGTGAGCTAAGGGTTTATTAGGGTTACATAGGAACTTTTTTGTTTGTTTTCTTTCTTTCTTTTTCTTTTTTACTTGTCACTTTGCTTTTACTGAAATCATATGCAAATGTAAGCTCCTCCCTTTCATCTGCATATGATTGAAACAGTAGAATCAAAAGTAAAAACAGTGGCAGGTCTTGACAGACCGCATCTGATTTGTGCAGCAGACCTGCACAGATGTGGGATGCTTGTGGAAGTCTGTGCAGAGGGTGGCCTGCATGGAATACCTGTGCATGCGGGGCAGCCGAAGACAGCCATTCACACGGGTATATGGGTCAGTGCTCCTTTATGAATAAGTCCTTCGTTTTTATGCAGAATTCCTTACTCTGGATGCTCAAACATATTGACTGTAATTCTGTTCCCACTCAATGCTAATGTACCATTGATTCAGTAGCTACTTCAAATTCTCTCGGTTTCCTAATTTAATAGAAGAATTTCTTCAGTTTGTAAATGGCATCTTCATTCTATTCATTGTATCTCTTCTTTACTTATACAGTTGCTGCACTCGAGCCAAATGCATTTTCTTTTTGTTCAGAGGAGAGATACAAAAAGTAGCATTGTGGCCTTTTTTTTTTTTTTTTTTTTTTTTTTTTTTTTTTTATTTGCTCATTTTAATTCATCTACAGATCAAAGGGACAAGCTTATTTCTGAATATTTTTTCAGTAAAGGCAAACTGACAAGTCAAAAAAAGAAAAAAAATGTTCCTATGTAACCCCTACTGAACCCTTAGTTTACCCTATCCGCCCTAATTATATCTTCCTTCCCCTGCTTGCTTTATCTTTTATTTTCCTTTTTATTTTTCATTTCTATATTTTAAATATTTTTTTTGTTTTTTTTACACTTTTCATTTTTGTTTATTTTTTATTCATATTTTTATAGTGTCACATAAAAAAAAACACCTAATTTGTCTTTTTTTTTTTTTTTTTGGTCTCTTTTTTTTTCTCTAGGGATTGCAGTAATAATAATTACTTTTGAAAGACCACATCACCAAAAAGCCTTGTTTGTCCAAAAAAAAAAATAATGTGTTAGTTAAAGTGTAAGTTCACCTTTTTAAAGAAAAAATAAATGAAAAGGTGAATGAACACCATAGATCCTCCCCACATTCCCCCTGGTTCCCGCTGTACTTACATCTGTGGGTGATGAGCTTTCAGTACCCATGCAGCCTATTTAGTGGTCTAGGGATCTGAAATCTCCGCTCTTCACCCTCTGCTTCCTGCAGTGCTTACAAGACAGATTGGAGCAATTCTGATTCGTCAGGCACGGCGTGACTCGCGCATGCGCAGTGGGCACCAAGCTGTGAAGCTGCAAGCTGTCACACTCTGGTGCCCACAGTAGAGAGGCCGGCGCCATGGAGGACAGAAGGAGAGAAGAGACGGCATGGGTGAGAACATTGCTGGATCCCGGGACAGGTAAGTGTGTGTTTATTTAGTCAGCAGCTACAGTTTTTGTAACTGCTGACTTTTACTAAACACAAAAACAGCTGGAACTCCACTTTAACCAGCTCCCGCCCGCCATATAGTTCAATGACGGGCGCAAGGTGGTTCTCTCATTCTGGGAGGACATCATATGACGTCCTCCCATTCTCACCACACATGCGCGGCTCAGGGAGCACGCAGCGCGGTGATCGGCGGTGCGCTGTATCCCTCGGACACAGCGGATCACCGATCATGGAAAGAGCCGAAGATGTCAGCTCGGTCATGTGATCAGCTGTGTCCAATCACAGCTGATGACATGAAAACAGGAAAATGTCGGTTATAGGCATTTCTCTCCTCTCGTGCTGACATGGAGGTGATGAAACGATGAGCATTACCAAGAGGCAAAACACAACCTATTGGGTCAAAGAAAAAATTGTGTGTAGTGTGGCACTGTAAAGAAAGTAAATAATATATCAAAAACCAATTAAGTGTAGCAAAAATGGATGTAGTAGCAAACACCCTTTATTATTTCAGGTACTTATATAGTGTCATCAATTTACACAGCGCTATATATATATATATATATATATAGTACATTCACATCAGTCCCTAACCCTCAAGAGGCGTACAATCTAAGGTCCCTAACCTACATTCATACATACTGTACACATACTAGGACCAATTAAGACAGGAACCAATTAAACTACCAGCATGTCTTTGGAGTGTGGGAGGAAACCGGAGTATCTGGAGGAAACCCACGCAGGCACAGGGGAACATGCAAACTCCAAGCAGGTGGTGCCGTGGTTGGGATTTGAACCACTGATATGTGGCACTGATGGGCACTGGCACGTGGTACTGATGAGCACTGACAGATGGCACTGCTGGGGCTACACTGATCATCAGTGCTCTGATGATCAGTGTAGATGTCCCCTCCGCAGAATGCCGATTACTGGCTCTCCTCTCATCTGTCAGCGTGACAGCTCGAGAGGAGAGAAATGCCGATAACCGGCATTTCCCTGTTTACATGTGATCAGCTGTGATTGGACACAGCTGATCACACGACCGAGCCGACGTCTTCGGCTCTTTCCGTGGATCAGTGATCCGCTGAGTCTGAGGGACACAGCGCATCGCCGATCACCGTGCATGCACGGTTAGAATGGGAGGACATCATATGACTTCCTCCCAGAACGAGAGAACCACCTTGCATGCCATTACTATAGGGCAGGCGGGAGGTAATTAAGTAATGTTAAAGAGTCCTCAAAAATCAGTTATTACACAGTTGTATTGTGCAAGGTGCTCTGTTCTATAAGGGGGTACACAGCCCTTCCATCACAAAGTTCCTTCTTCTTATAGATGCATTTCGGGAGATCCAGAAGTATGGTGTTGGGGATCAGGTGGACCTCAAGAACAACCCAGTGGCTGTGGAGCATATCCATATGAAGCTGTTCAGAGCCCAACGTAACCTTTACATCGCTGGATTCTCCCTCCTGCTGGCTTTGTGAGTATTGACATTCTCCATCTGATTCCCTCTGTAACTAGTCTTTTTAGAAGCTGTGCTGTGGTGTGGTGTGACCACACGGAGGCAGTAAAAGCTCTTAGGATTTTTTGCCTTTGTCTATCAGAAGTCTGATATGTTTTTACACTGTTGGATGCCTTTTGTTTTCCCTTCAGGTCTTGTCTGTTCTACTTTTCCTTTACCCCTCAATCTTTTTTGAACCTCCTACATGTCTTTATTCAAGAGTACGAGGTGTTTCCAGAAAATAATGAAAATATACACTCACCGGCCACTTTATTTAGGTACACCTCTTCAATTGCCTGATAGCGCAAATTGCTAATCAACCAATCACATGGCAGCAACTCAATGCATTTAGGCATCTAGACAAGGTGAAGACAACTTGCTGAAGTTCAAACCGAGCATCAGAATGGGGAAGAAAGGGGATTTAAATGACTTTGAACATGGCATGGTTGTTGGTGCCAGACGGGCTTTTCTGATTATTTAAAATACTGCTGATCTATTGGGATTTTCATGCACAACCATCTCTAGGGTTTACAGAGATTGGTCTGAAAAAGAAAAAATATCCAGTAAGTGGCAGTTGTGTGGATGAAAATGCCTTGTCAGAGGAGAATGGACAGACTGGTTTAAGATGATAGAAAGGCAACAGTATCTCGAATAACCACTCATTACAACCAAGGTATGTAGAATACCATCTCTGAACGCACAACATGTTGAACCTTGAAGCAGATGGGCTACAGCAGCAGAAGACCACACTGAGTGCCACTCCTGTCAGCTAAGAACAGGAAATGAAGGCTATAATTCACACAGGCTCACCAAAATTGGACAATAGAAAATTGGAAAAAACGTTGCCTGGTCTGATGAGTCTCGATTTCAGGTGCGACACTCAGATGGTAGGGTCAGAATTTGGCGTAAACAACATGTAAGCATGGATTCATCCTGCCTTGTATCAACGGTTCAGGCTGGTGGTGTAATAGTGTGGAGGATATTTTCTTGGCACACTTTGGGCCCCTTAGTACCAATTGAGCATCGTTTTAATGCCGCGGCCTACCTGAGAATTGTTGCTGACCATGTCCATCCCTTTATGACTCCAGTGTACCCATCTTCTGATGGCTCCTTCCAGCAGGATAATGCACAATATCACAAAGCTCAAATCATTTCAAACTGGTTTCTTGCACATGACCATGAGATCACTGTACTCCAATGGCCTCCACAGTCACCGGATCTCCATCCAATAGAGCACCTTTGGGATGTGGTGGAATGGCAGATTAGCATCATGGATGTGCAGCCGACAAATCTGCAGCAACTGCGTGATGCTATCATGTCAATATGGACCAAAATCTCTAAATGTTTCCAACATATTTTTGAATCTATGCCAGGAAGAGCCCTTCTCAAACATAGGAACTTCATTCTCATTCTATTCTGGACACATCTCGTATACAGTTAACCACTTGACCCCCACGCCAATTCTGACACTTCTCACATACAGTACATGTAAAAATCTGCATTTTTTTTTTTTTTTGCTAGAAAATTACTTGAAACCCTCAAATATTAAATATTTTTTTTACGTGGAAGCCCTATAGAATAAAATGGTGGGTGTTGCAATTTTTTTGTCTCCTGGTATTTGCACAGTGGATTTTCACATACAAATTTTGGGAAAAAAAATACACTTTTTAATAAATTTTAATGCACAAAAACACAATATAATACCCAATTGCTTAATAAAATATAAAAGCTGTTCTGCCGAGTATATACATATCAAACATGTCACGCTTTAAAATTGCGCACGCTCATGGAATGGCCACAAACTACAGTATTTAAAAATCTCCATTGGTGACACTTTAAAAGCCTTTGCAGGTTACTAATTTAGATTTTAATTAGGTCTGGTCCTAGAGTTATTGCTATTGCTCTGACATTCGTGGCAATACCTCTCATGTGGTGCAATCTGCGTTTGTGTATGCTGAATGGACACGTGTTGGCCTTTGCGTGCTAGAATGGTAGGACGGGGGTGCTACTTTTTATATTTATTTTTTTTCATGAACAACATCCCTTGTGATAGCATGGGCCGTGATCGTTTCTCTTTTTGGAGATATCTGGGGTCTATTAGACCCCATATCTCTCCTGGCTTGCAAAGCATCAGATAAAACCAAAATCTGTTACAATAGCAATGGGACTGCCTGCACAGGGATACACGGAATGCCTGTGCTGGTAGACATGGCCCTCCACAGGTGTACATGTATGTATGCCCCGGGTGAATGAGCTCAGCACAAGAGCACATCTAGGCAGATGACACCATTTTCTCTGTTATAGTTGTAGACCAGGGGTCTCCAAACTATGGACCTTCAGCTGTTGAAGTGCTACAAGTCCCATCATGATCTGCCTCTGGGAGTCTTGCCTGTGGTCAGTCTTGCAAGGCCTCGTGTGACTTGCAGTTCCTCAACACCTGGAGGACCATAGTTTAGAGACCCCTGTTGTAGACTGTAGAAAAAGTTTACTGGTGTCATTTTTCCATCCCCAACCTGTTGACTGGAAAGTGAAAGCACAACAGAAAGATGAGGTCATCTCAGTGTTTTCCTTATCAGCATATTTGCATGTAGCACACATGGTTGGCTACTATTGCTTTTCCTTCCTCTCTCGGTCGGAGTGTTGCCAAGGATTATTGTCAAATTCAGGTATGCGGCATGCAGGTGTTCTGACCAGGAGTATGATGATAGGAGGAGAAATCAAAGGGCACGTGGTCCTGTTGTAAACTGTCCCTCGGTTGCTAAGCTAGCATGGTTAACAGCTCACCACCATTCCATTCCCACACACACACCACTGTCCGACTATACTGCTAGCAAGGAGATGAATTGTATTGAAGTCTGACAGACACATATAAGAGGGTGGTGGGGCACACAGAGGGAGTACAGTAGTAGCTGCCAGCTTGTTTTGTGAAAGACAGCAGTCTGGGCACGAGCAGTGTCATTAACCTCCCTAGCGGTCTGATTATGTCCATATTTCTGTGCTCAAAGCGGTACATTTTTTTGCATGGAAATATGTATTTTTTTATTGTAGGCCTTTAATTTTTAGGAATAACTCACTGAAATCTGTCCGAACAAGAGTCTAGTAAACATCCCGGGTATGTTAAAATTTGAAACAAGAAATCATAAATTATAATTTAATAAATAATCATTAAAAATATAATAATTTTAATTCAATAATATAATCAAACCAAAACAACTGAAATTTGAAATCGAGCGCCAAGTTCGCACATCACTGAGCAAAGTCGCAAAATCGTTTTCAGTGTCTGATGACGAATTTCCCGACGAATCATTATCACTCAAATCTGCAAGTGGTTCTGATTTACTATCGCTTTTCTCTAGCTGGTCTAAAACTGATTTTGACCTAAAGGGATGCTTTTTGGACACCATGGACGTTTCTCAGTTTCCAGGCAGAAAGAACAGTAAAAATGTAGGCAGGGCACAGGACAAAGCACTCGGAACAAAATGTATGTGAAATGGTTTGATACAGTAATGTTTTACTATGTGAATTTAGTGAATGTCACTTTTTGTCACTTTTAAATTTCCTGCCGGTTCTGCCCCCCGTACGTCCCGACGTCGCAGGGGACGGAACCCAGAAGATAGATGCCGGCATCTGCCAGAGGACATTAGAGGGGACACTGCAGGAGGGACATCGCGGGAGCGCAGGACACGGTAAGAGAAGAACAGATCCCGGAGCTGCGCCGCATGGTAAGCCCGAGTTTAGCTCAGGGTTACCGCTTGTGGTACTGAAACTTTACCCCGAGCTACACTCGGGAATACCGCCAGGGAGGTTATGAAAAACACCAGCGCACAACAAAAGCCAGGAGCTAGTACTGTAGTCTGTCTCCTTCCCAGGACTTGCAGGCAGGTGTGTTCTCAGTAGTCTGAGAGACTAGGGTACTAGCTACTGGCATGTGTTTTTGTGAATGGTTGGAAGCCATCTCTATTCTCAGTGACAGGTCCTGCTCTTCCTTATGTCTTTGCTGTGACTAGGGGCGGACTGACCATTTGGAAACTCGGGCACTGCCTGAGGGCCCGGGGTCAGTAGGGGGCCCCATGAGATGCCCCTGGTACCTTTTTCATAGGCTTTTTTGAGTTTGGGCAAGGACACAGGGGCCCCATGATCCCCTTTTCCCGGGGGCCCCATGAGTTGTCAATCCGTCCCTGTCTGTGTCTATACTGTGCCAAGCCCTGGCTGAAAGGTCAAAGTCCCTAAGAAGACCTTGTCACTGCTGTGGTTGATCTCCTGATTATAGTTGTTTGGAACAAATGGATTCCACTTTAAGCTCCAGTTGTGATGGCCAGCTGAGGGTTTAATTTTCATCTCTGGAATGGTCAGATGTGCAGAGGCCACTTTGGTTAAAGTGGTGGACTATGGAACGCAGATCTAATAAATGTCTGATCCGCATGGCCTTTGAGGGACATTGTCTCTGTTCCCATTCTCTGGGTACCATTATAAAGTACGCTATTGGTGACAAGAGTACCCTTCTTCCTCAGTGGCAGAAGCATTGAAGAACAGAGACTGCAAAGACGCATTCCTATCTGTTAAACAACCCCTTGTTTTTCCACTCCTTCACCATCTACGTAGAGAACCCCCAATTGTCTCTCCCAGTCCACTGAAAAGGTCTCAGGCTTAAAATCTGTCAAATCCTAAGATGAACTTTCCTCAATATGAAGGTGCCCCCTTGTTTCCAGAGTTGGGGAATGTTTGATCACCTTTATGGTACTTGGAAAGACACTCCTTGGGTTCTCACCTCCTGCTTGTGTCATCACACAGATGAGCAGAAATGCATCAAACCCTCTTGGCTTTTCTGGATCAAGTTGTCATTGCTTTAGGTCCTGTGGTAGAACATTTTCATGGATTTTGCACTAACCTGTTCACTGTTCCTAAAACTGAAGGGTGCATCCACCCCATGTTCGATCTCATAAGCACTGGATGTGTTCATTCATGCTCAGAATTTCTGT